AGTGCCAGTTGGTGCAGCATTTGGGAGATGATTGCTGAGTCTGACTCACAGTACTGGTCATAGTACTTGGTCCAAGTATTGTGGTTGTATGACAAATCGATGTAGTGATTTATTGCTTAAAGGCAGGAGGATTATGGCTGTAAATAACCCTTATGTCTACTGAGGTTTACATTGAGTTAGAGAATAATTGATCAGAAATGCATCCAGTTTCCTTGGCATGAAGTACTCACCCTGTGTAATGTAGGTTACTGAAGTAAACGGAAGTGTTGCTGAAACTCATGAAAAGGGACTGTGCTTCGCTGTGATATGTGGCATTTTCAGAATCCTGTATGAGGCTGAGCCAGCTCTGTTACTTTTCTGCCTGTTTTCTACAAAAGCTGGTCATTTGAGAGACTGGCAATCCAGGGCTTGGTTTATCATAAAGCAGTGCACGGTGTTCCTGAAGCACTTTCCAGCATAAAGCACTTTCAATATGAAAAGGTGTTACGACCTTTTTTTACTGTTCGGTTGGTTGGTTTTGTTTGTTTGTTTTATTACAAAGGATAATGGAGCTTGTGCAACATACTGTATGTTGGTATTGGAACCTAAGCTAGAGAAATCTTAGGGCCTTTTTCATTGTGATATTAGCTAATCATGCCATGTTATAAGCCTGTCACTAATAGGGTTGTGGGATCCTTGCAGATGAACGCGTATGAAAGACTATATTTTATTGCGGTAATTTAGTTTGCAGGACTTGGATCATAGCCACTTCCTACAGACTCATTTGGATGCTGTAGTGTGAAATCCACTCAGGTGGAAAGCTCTTACACCTACAGAGCTTTCTGTGATTTGGTGAATTAATGGAAGTTAGTGGGAGGAGAACAGGATAGCAGAGCTGTCTACAAATCTGCTGTTAATTAGTTGCACATTGCTATGTCCATCACCTGCCTTCCAGCTAATTGTAGTGGAGTCCTACTGAGCCTGAGGCAGTGTGCTGGAAGGCTCTCTTCGTTACTAGTGCCTGGCAACTCCTGCTCATCTTCACAGATAAAATAAAGACTTTAGATGGGTGGACTGGGAACATATTATCTAAGGGATTGCTATAAAAATACATACTGTCTGGACTGTGAATGTTTCTGAATAAAACACAGGTGTGGAAACTGCAGGTATCAACATGCATAGGTAGGGACGTATATATGTGACAGTAAAGCTGTTTGGCATGTGTTTTCTCACTTTGGTTGATTTTCCCCATCTCTCATCTCTGGGCACGCTAGGGTAGTATAATTTTTCTTGAAGGAATTGCAAAAATTAAATGTCTGAAGTAATAGGAAAAGCACAAGAGAGAATGCATCAGTCTTGGGTGCTTGTGCTCACCACGGTGCCATCAGGTGGACACAGTGTATTCTTTACAGTTAGTGTAGGTGCCTTGTCCACAATGTAATAGGAGTGCTTTTGTTGGCCTAATGCTAGGAGATACAAATTGGTTGGTATCTGTGGGACAAGAAAGGAAGGTCTAAGATCTAATACAAAACCTAACTGCTCTGATAAGTGCCTTGCAATTAAGAGCCCAATACCTTTCAGCTGAAAAACCAGATTCTTCTATCAGCTGCTGGAGAGTTGGGATTAATTTCAGTACAAATAGGTTTGGGTTTTTTTTTTTTAATTTATGTGGACAAGTTGATGAATTCTGTGGGCAAGAAATGATGGGTTTATTTTGCAGTGATATTTGTGCTGAGACAAATACCAGCACACAGCTGGTAAGAGCTGTGGCTGTGCCCTCTCCTTGGTCTCTCTCATCATTGAAATAAGGTTGCTGCTTCACAGCAGGTGGCAGCTGGGACACAGCAATGTGACCTGTCATGTGCCTTATGGGGGGATTTCTTTTCTTTTAAAAATACTGCTTGCTCTGTAGATACTGTTTCAAAATTTCTTAATTTGGTGAGCATCATAAGAAGCTTTAGTATTTCTACCGAAATAGTACTGAGTACCAGATCACTGTGGGTCACGGTGATAACAGCAAAGTGCTTCTTTATGTACCTGTAATAAGTAAATGTCATTGGTTGTCTTAATATTCAGTCTGTATTGTAGCACTGTGTTATTCATAGTACTAAAGTAACTTTAAATTCACACTGTTGTGGCTGTTTCTTTTGTTACCATTATCAGGTGTTTGTTTATTCTTGGGATATGATTTTGTTTCAGTAACAGATACTTTCATTTAACAGAACATTTTTAGACTTCTGTCAGGTTTGTTCCCAGTAGAAATTGACCCAGCTATTATTTATTTTATTTTTTTACAAACAAGATGCTTGTTCAGAGTTTTTTACTGAAAGCTAAGAAAAATTCCAAACCTAGCATTTTAGATTAATATAACAAGCATGGTAATCTATGAAACACCCATCACTTTGTTCCTTTCTCTTCCATGTCTTCTCAAAGACATTATGTATAACTCCTTCAAGATGCCAAACTCAGAGTCTGTATTCACAGTCCTGTTGGAGTAGAGAGAGCAAAGACAGAAAAGTCTAATACTAGAGAAAGTAGAGAAGAAAATCTTGGCAGTTAAAATAAGAAGGCATTGCCAGCTAGTGTTTTGAAAGGTTGCCCGCAATGGTCAAGCCATTCCAATGAGGAATGCCTTATTTTCATGAAGACTAGAACACCATTTCAGTATTCTATCTTAAAAAAAAAAACCAAACAAACAAACAATAGATGAAGATTTGATTTGGAAGGTTTGCTTTCCTTTAACTGCTTTTAAGCTGGTTTTTTCCATTGCGTTTAGGGGCATCTTTGTGGCTGCTGTTTACAAAAGAAAAATAAGTTGCTGGAGTGGGAAATGGCTATTGCATCTTGAATTACACAGTATTTATGAAATGTCAGGGTGAGCTGTGGTAAGCAGCTGAAATATGCTTAGATCAGTGGATATTTAATTTCCTTTATGGCACAATATATTGCTTTGCAGTGTAAAGACACTAGTTTCCTAAGATCCAGAAAAAACAAGTTCCTATGATTCATTTCATGTGTTCTTTCTGATACATCATGATCATGACCAAAAGGTGCGGAGGACAGAAGTGTATTTTTTCCTGGTTTTTGAAATTTGTTACCCACATTAAGTGATACATCATGACCAAAAGGTGCTGAGGACAGAGCTGTATTTTTTCCTGCTTTTTGAAATTTGTTACCCACATTAATCTGAAATGGTTCAGGTGCTTGTAGGGCTGACTGAGGGGTTCTGAAGCCAAAGCTGGAAAGATGAAGGAGTTGGTGAGGCATTACTTCCTGTATTACTGGTTTGTTTATGTTTGCTGTTTAAAACCTGTTAATATCTATTTGTAATTGTTATTATACCTAGTAAGCAGGCAGGATTGTTTTGTTAAGGTGAAACTAAGTCACACAAAATAGTAGATACACCTTTTTAATATAGATAAGTAGTACATGTGACCTAATGAGAGACCAGAATAATCTGTGTTAGTACATAATACATGGCAAAATGACCACTTTCTGCCCTAAACAGTTTATGAAATAGGTGTGAGACAAAATTTTTACATATGATAAAAATTTTATAGTACCTGACATTTTCTAAGTTTTCTGTGAACAGCAACTGCATAATCTTCTTCCTATTCTTCTTACATACGTGGTATTTCATAGAGGACTGGAAAGCCATACGTGCATGCTAAATACATTGATCACAGGCTAATCTGTGAGCACTAGGGTACAGGTGTTCCCTCTCCAACCTTTCTCTGCTGTTAGACAGACTTGTATTCTAGATACTTGTCCACTAGAATGAGATCTCACTAGAACCAATACAGTCAGAAAATCAGTAGACTCGATCTCTCTAATATATTAATTGCTTCTAGGCAGATAATGTTCTACTTACCAGGCAATTTCTGTTTGTAGTTTGTTTGAGAACTCAAAATTTGAGGTCTAATGGTGAGTTTGAATTGGATACCCATTTTACTTGACGTGTTTCTATTCCTAGTTTGAGCATCCCAGTGAGAATAAATGTGTTAAGATAGTTTTAAAATTATCATTAATTTAATTTGGTGTTTTCTTTACACGTAGATGTTTTCTCTTGGCTTTTGGGCTCTGCTTTTGTCCTCATTCACTGGAGTATTTGGAGACAGCAAATAAAGGCTGAGATTAACACTTGTTAAATTAATTCAATTAACAACTGGAAGTAACTTTGTGGAAACATTTGTGCAGTCTTTGCCTAGGTTGTGTGTGAGACTGAGATAGTTTTTGTAATTTACTTGTATTCAGCTTCTAAACCTTTAGAAACATCTGTGTGTTTCATGGCCTTTGAATCTTTCCAGCTCCCTTACCAAAACTATCACACAGTACTGTTAGCATGATAAGCAAGCTTTAGAAAGTGAAACTGGGTTTATGAATGTTTGACTTTCATCTCTCAGGAAAAATACTTGTTTATTGCCTTTAAAATATACTGGTTTGATGAATAAGCTGAGCCAAGAAAGAAAGAAAACTATGTGAAATGGAATGAAGTGGAAATGATCTGTGTGCTGGTGCCAGCCAGTGATAGAAATGTAAGACTCAATCTGCTGTGTTAGTGAGGCACACATCGGAAAAGGGCTTTTTTATCACAGAAGTAAGGTCTCCCAAGGGTTCTGTTGTTTATACCATCATAGCTGTTTGTTGTTCGGCTTGTTAGATTCTTTGAGCTGTTAAACGACTTTTTCTCACATAGTGCAGATCAACCACTAATCTGAACTGAGATGTGATCATTGGTCCAGGCCTACTTCTGTGCATGTACCTATATGGGGCTTAAATGTTGTATGCAGGTGATATGAAACACTGCTTTGTTACGTTAGCGCTAGTAGCAGTCATGCTGGATACCACGTCAAATCCCTCTTCCTTTTTTTTCTAAAAGATGGGAATTTGGTGGATTCAGACTTCTGCACTAAAAATGATACAGAGCTGCAAGACAAATTCTTGTCTGACTACTGTATGAATGTAATTGGTTATTTAAAGTTGGTTATTGGCTGTTTTTTTTCTGCTTGTTCACAGGTTGCATGGCCGATACCATGAAATGGCACCAAACGTTGTGCCCATGGACTACACAAAGGACCCAGATGTTAAACTACCTATGCAGCTTATAATAAACATGCCTGAGCTAAAGGTATCACTTCTGACTGTTTACAGACTGTATCTTCTTAAGTCATGTAGCTCATCTGCTAGAGCTTTTGCCAAGTAAATTTGATATCCTGAAGCAGTGTGGCATCCTGAAGTCTTCCCCTTGCTGTTACTGTTCAAGGGCAAAGCCAGCCCCTGAAACTGGAAAATATTTAGGTGGATGTCTTCCTTGCAGAGGTAGTTGGGGGATGGATGTTGAAGGAAATGAGTAGGAAAAAATGAACTTTAGGAATCTTTCCACTTTGTCTATTTTAGTCCCTTAGAAGCCAGTGGGATCTCTGTGTGAAGAGCTGGTTACAAATCATAAATTCTCAATGTGGTGTTAGGAAATTTGTCAGAGGTGTGCAGAACATTGCTCATCGAAAGTAAAGATTTTCCACATTTTTTCTCAGCTGCAAGAGCACAAAAATTGCTATTTTTCTTAATTATCAGGAGTTTTTATTTTTCATGGAGGGGAGAGACAGTCCAATTAACTACATGTGAGAGAAGTAGTAGGCATAAAGCAATCAGCTGAAAAAAATTGGGATAATATCTGCTTTTATTATTTTATCAGTTCAACAATTTGAATATAATTTTATCAGGATAAGTATGGATTTTTAGCATTTATTTTTTAAGCAGTTAATTAAATTATGTTGTCTTTCATCTTGTGGTCTCTTTCTTTTTCACATACGCACATTAGTTGACATCTTTAAATTACTGTCGTGGAAATGGCTCTTTGTTCACTGTGACAGTTGCATGAAGTGTTATTAAGCTTTTTAAGAGCAGTGCCATAAACAACTTGTAATTGATGGCATTCCACTTGATTTTAAGGATTTAGAAGTTCTTCTTTAGTGTTGTAAGATATCAAATATTTGGAAAAAAAGTGCAAGCATAAGCAGTGCTTTAGAAATTCAGTTGGGGAGGAGGCTAAGTCAACATAAAGTGAGAGACATCTGAATTAGATTTCAAGTTGAAGTTCACAGAACTTGTTCATTTAGTACCACTATTAATGCATGTTTGATGCTTGGACAATACCATTTATTGAACAAGAAACACATTTCACTCTAAAGGATGTTTCTTTAGGAGGAGGGAGGGAGCAAGTGGCTGTGTGGTACTTGGTTGCTGGCTAGGGTTAAACCACAACAGATTTCTAACTTGATTATCTAAAATGAGATTTACAGTATAATTAGGCATCAAAATAGTAGCCTGCGAGAAGTTGCTAGCACAAGCAGACCCAATTAGGCCCTTAGGCAGTATTATGAAGTATAGTGTTAAATTACTCGATGGAGCTAAAAGTTAGGAGTTGGAATGCTTGCTCTAAGTCTTTTTTGCCCTACCCCTGAGATCATGGGAACAGATTAATGATACCAACAGGTGGATAGGGAACAATTATGCACTGCTTTTTACAAGGACAAGGAAGTATTGCATGAAATTACAGACAGACAGCTGACATAACATGAGAATATATCAAGGAATTAATTGCCACAAGACATTTTGGCAAAGGCAGCATTAGTCTTCAAAAACTATTTAAGTGCTTTTACAGAGCAGAATTTCACAGATTGTTATTATGATCTGGGTGTAATATCTAGCTCAGAAAGCCCCTGAAATGCTTATTGCGCTACTCTTAGAATATACTGTGGGAAGGATCACTGGGTATATCACCCTCTTTTTATAAAATTCTTGCCTTATCTGCTATTGGTTCCAGTTAGAGTTAGGCTGGTGGGCTGGATGGACTGATATTTATGACAGTTCCCATATTATACTTTTTTTCCCTCCTTAAAAGCAATCTCTACATCTGTTGGATTTATTCTTAATGCCCCACTGAGATTTGTCTGAGGTGATTTAATTAAGGACCTGCTTTTAGCAGTTACTTAGAGCCAGTCATTTGAAACTTACCAGCTAGTACAAAAGGAAGAAGATTCTTTGTCTTGAAATAGGAATATTTGCCTTACTGAAGTGCTGTCATGTTCGGTGGACAGCTGTATATAAAAATGCAAATCAGTGTTACATGGAATACAATACAAAAAATTACTAATGGTCTTACTTACTGAGTATAAACTAATCAGTTTTCTTAGTAGCTGGCAGGATGAAACAGCATGGGCTTCACAAAATTAGAATACATGGTAGCATCTTGACGGATTCTGATGGTTTTCAGCCTTCTTCTGTTTTTGCTTATGCATAAATATTGAATCCTTATCTTTGTGATAAAATGTATCATCCTTAAGGGTTTTTGATTCATTCATCCATTACTGCAAGTAGGTTTATATCTCTTTAACATGTCTGCAGCTCATTCACCACTCTGGCATCTTACGTGCTTGCACTGGCGCTTCTGGTATGGGCAATCAGTATTCTGTAAGTTTTGTGTTATTATCTCTAGGATCTTGGTAGTCCAGTATGACATTCTCTGGTTTGGTTATGTGACTCTCAAGAGTTTAACTGCCAGAGGGCTGATAGTTGCTTTCTGAAAAATCAAGGCTAAGTTCAGAAAAGAAAGCGAGAAACCGTAATCACACACATTATTTGTGGCTTCAGTGATACAGGATTGAACTCTGAAGGAACAGCTCATTCTATGAAAACCTTAGAGATGGGAAACTATTGTATTTACAAGACAGCCTGGTACTTAGGCTGAGATATAAACCAGAAATTTTATACTGGCCTGTGATTAGATTTTGAGCTACAGAAGCACATCTCACTACCTTAGCAAACTTAGGTGGTAATGATAATAGACTTCCTAATAGACTTCCGTGAGTAAAGTGGACCATAATCTATCTTCTTGCACCACATAAAGTCTGTGAGGCTTTCTGGCCCTGCTTTAGAAGATGTCTCCAGGGTAATGCAACTTGATTTTATGAAAGTAGCAGGACAAAATTCAGTGTCAAATTTTATAATTCTCTTCCAAGTCTCATAAGGCTGTGGAAGAACCTGAGAAATACTGCTGTCAAACTACTCATTTTTATTTCAGGATTTCTCGTGGTTCAGAGAGAAAGTGCTTTCAGTAGCTAGTGAGCTTGTTTCCAGAAAAATATCAGTTAGAGGAGACTAGCTCTTCCTCCGTAACTCTTTCAGAACATTGATACTAAAGGATATTAAAATGCTATGTAGGACCTCAGTTATAAACTGGCTTCAAGCCTGGTCATGGAGCATTTTGTGTTTTCCTGTGGAGATGGTGGGGATGGGGAGAGAGTCTTTCCCCTAGAGTTCATTTTCCAGGCAATCTGGGTAGTAACTCCAGCTCATACGCTAAGAAAAAAATATCTTTAACCTTTGCAACTTGACCAGACTGCTAAATAAATCGTTATGGTGTTTTCTTTCATCAGTAAATTTTCATCAAGGTGAAGACAAAGCCAACATTTAAATCTTAAAATAGAAATAAATGAACTAAATGTCTATTGAATTGTAATAAAATTAGTGATAATTTCAATGCACCTGGCTTTTTTCATATACACATTATATTTCTAGTTACTGGCAATCTTGAGCTCAATACCACCGCAGATTCTGACAAATGGATAGAATCAATAATGTACTTTTCTAAATTAGATTCTGCTACTATAAAGAAAGATCTTTACCTCACACATTAATGTTATGACCTAGGATTTTTATATTTTAAAGAAAAAAAAGTGCTGATGGTCACTCACTTTAATTGGTAATGAATTATTCACTAACTCATGATTCTTAGAAGTTGAAAGTCAGGACAAGAAATAAATAAATAAAGAAGGGGCAGATACTTTAAGTTGATTAGGTCTACCATTACACTGAAGTTAACAGAGCTAGTTTACTACTTCTCTTTCATTGCAGTCTCTGTTCTCTAATTTTGACAATCTTGGTTACACAGGCAGCAGTCTAATAAATGAATTCAGGACATATGAGCACCTGTGACATTGCAGCAATTAATATTGCAGAATTCTAGCAATGATGCGGGCTGTTCAGCATGCGACCGTGTAGAAAGCCAAAGTGCTTCAATTTCAGGACAAAAATTCAGAATTCACTCGCAGGATGCTTGTCATTTCCACAGAGCTGGATGTGGGACTGTAACCTGCTGACGGAGACCACGTATATTCTGTAGAAGTGGGTGGATGGCCATGTTCTTTGTGATACATACCTCCCTAGTTGTCAGAATCTTCAAATTGCTGGAGGGCCTGTCTCTGGTTATTGTTATTGTAGAGCAATCCTTCTGTCAGGAGTTGCTCGTAAAAGGACTTCCTGGAGGGGAACCATTTTTGTTTCATTCACATTACAGTCTGTTGCTTTCTTTTTTTGGCTCAGGCAGTAACTTTATTGATCCTCGCAGGCCTTGTCATTAGCAACAGTGGCAAGTCAGGTAGTCATAAATCCACACACTACTGAAACGGAATGAGCAGCAGACACAGGAATCACTCAGGAGAAAGAAAGGACATGCTGGGAACAGTGAGTCAATCACACATTGCATAACCAGTGTTAGCACCCTATTTTTGTTAAGTTTAAACATGAATGCATGTGAGTTGCTTCAAAATAAAGTGAAAACACAATTTTAAGACGATGGAATTTTAGAATTAGTGTCAGTGAGTCCTCAGTTTCAAAGCCTTCCGTGTAATGGGCAATGAGAGAGCAGGTTGATACTCTTCCCAAGCCCCCACTCCTGCTCTGGCCAGTCCTTACCTGCAGCTCATCCCAACTTCCTTGTCTCTGCATCCTCTTGGTTGTTTCTAGCTATGATGGGATGTTTTACCCCTTTCAGACCACTCTTCTTGCTTCTCTGAAGCTCCTTTTTAACTGTGTGTCTCAATCAACTGTATGCTCTCCAAATGCAATAAGTAAGGGCCATTTTCTCACCAGTCAACTCCAAATCTGTACCTTCTTGATGGTCTTTACCAGTATTGTCTGAATTTCCTGCTACAGTTAGTGAATCAGTTTTTATTGAAATGCCATATATTCCCATGATATGCTACTATGTTCTGTAATATTTAAGTAATTCCATATACAACCAGAATCTTTGGTTATTTGGCTGTCATGACCATACTGCGGCCTTCAGGAAAGAAGTAAGCTCATTGCTGAACTGTCTAAGGTTTCTGCTTTCTGACAGAATAACATGATCATTTTTTAAAGATTATTAGTTTAGCTGTATCTTAGCCTTGGTTTATGCAGGGCTTTCTTAATCAGTGCCCTGTAGGCACTGCAGAGAAGTTTGATGACATGAATATAATCATCTACACATGGGAAAAAAAAAAAAGATTTTGAGGAAGGAAAGGAAAAAAGAAAAACAACAAAGAAGTGTGCTTTTATCTGCTCCAGGGACAATTTGCTGTTGCGCTTACGATGCTTCCCTTCCAAAGCATTAGCCACTCCTATGGAGGTATGTTAATGAATAATTTAGCCTTTTTTATATTTGTTTGGTAAGAGTTAATTTCTACTTTTTTTAGGAACAACTCCTGAAATTTGAGAAAGCTTATCTTCTGATCAGTTCTGCACAAGTCTGGATTAAAACATCCAAAGTGGTTCTGGCTTTCACTAGGCTGCAAAGCAGACTGCTTTGTGCATTTAAATATCTTCCCTAATGTCAGTAGGGTCCTATGTCCAAACAAATGAGAAAATGATCATCCTGTTTCTGTGGATATAAAACTGAGAAGCATTTTGTAATGATTGTCCAGCCTCTCCAGCTTAGTTATCATGACCTGCCTTGCAATTTTACTTCCAACCTTGTATTTCCAAAATGCAGTCAGCTTGTGAGAATAGGATACAGTCCTTTAAATTAATTCATCAAGCTGCAAAACAGATAGGGCAAAAGGACAACACAGTGCTTTCCTAGAGCCTGTGATGGAAATGAGAGGATAGGGGAAAATAACAAGTGACTTGGTAAGACTCAGTTGCAACCCCAGGAATAAACCCTATACAGTTATGATTTATTGTATGGTGTTCTGTGTGTTGGAATAGATGCCACATGACAAAAATGTATAGAAGCACAATTAACTGAGTAGAAAAAGTGATTGTTAATAAAATGGATGGGCATTTGGGAGGATTATCTCAAGCCACTACAGCAGCATCAATCCGTAGAACAGCAGTTTTAGCTGTAACAATTCTTTATCATTTGTCTCCCCTCTCATTTTTATTGTGAGACAACAGAAAAAGCTTTTTAACAAGACAAATGTAAGTTTCTAGTTTTAAAAGGATTCTTTTTTAAACAATTAGTGCTGAAGGGAAAACAATCTAGGAAGGAACAGTATCATTTCCCCCTTTACTCCCTTCCCCCATGGCTTTTCCTTTAAATATGATGGAATCCTAATCTCTGCTCTTTAGAGTAGAGGTAATGAAATTACAGAAAGGATGTGAAAAGTATCTGTGGAGGTAAGCTAATACTTTCCATTGTGTATACCACAGATATACTGCCTGAAGACACATAATATGAGAAAGTTAAAGAAGTCAATATGAGGAAAGATTTTATTTTTCATTTAGGTTTTAGAGATCCATTTGGCAAAGAGTTACTTAAGAAGTATGCTTAGATCCATTTAATTCATTGTTAACTCATCTGTATTTTCAAGATCTCTGACGGGCCAAATAGATAATTCTTCTTCAGCAGCTGCAGTATACATACTCAGAAGGAGCATGCCTGGCATTTCTAATGCAGAAAGTCCTGGGTTTGATATTCACTACTGATAGGGATATTTCCATCTGTGTACTCCCTGTTTGTTACCCAGTGCTGCCTCTAAGATGTCAGTTTGCAACTGTTGCTGTGACACCCAGCTCTGATGAGGTTTGTCCCGAAGAAAGCAATATATTATTCTGGAAATAAAAAAAGATAATTTTTCTAACATGTTTTCTGATCCACTCTGATATTTAGCATTCTCTAATATTAAACATTTCACACACCCCATTTTTTAATGTGTTTTTAGGAAGAAAGTGGGCCTTTTTCATACATTTCAGCCCAACTGAATCTTTGGCTTATTAATAAACTGACAATTTGAAACAATAGAATCATTTGTTTTCCACTGAGCATCTGTATGTATATTCATAACACAGACAGGCATATTTCCAAGCACTCAAGTCAGATACTTTAGCCTTAGCAGTACCCACAGATGTACATCTGCTACAACTCCTCTACACATCATGCATGGGATCATTGTGTATCCTTTTAACAATGACTTTCACTCAACCATCGGGCTAATTCTGGGGTGTTGTTTTTCATTCTGAGACTCTTGAGAGATGTGACCCTGCTGCTTCTTTGAGCCTGTTGTTTTTTTGTTTTCAGGAGTCCTTTTTTTTAGTCTATTCAATTTTTTATTTTTATTTGGCCTAGTTTTGTCATCTTCTGAACATTGAGCTAAGCCTTACATATTGAGCTCAGAGCACAGTGAGCTCTTTAATCTCCTACCCTCTGAAATCTGTAGGCATGCTTTCTATTGTGGAATTACTTCAGCATCGAACCTTGCAGGAGAGTTTGAATTTAGTATTGACCACCATAATGGGCTGTCATTTGAGCCTACGGCTCTGTGGCCCTTATTTCACCTATCTATTAAAAAAGCCAGAAAGACTGGAAGAATCTTGGCATTTAGTAGTGCTAAAATCTCTGGTCAAGTTTACTTTTTGAATTTTGAATCTTGATTATCTCAGGGAATTACACTTCAAATGTCTCCTCAGATCTTGCTCATCCTCAGAAGATTCACACACACACTTATATGGTTTGTCAGTAGACGAGTATTTGCCTTTTGGCAAACTCCAACTAATTTCTACCATGAAAGTAGTCCTAGAGTGCAAACTGCAAGACCCCGAGACATCTCATTAGATGTGTCCGGAGTGTTTTGTTATCATTAAACAGAAGCCTCCTGATAGAATCAGGTATACTCTCTGAGGATGTGAACAGCCAGTATAGCTTCTATGAAAAAGTATCTCAAGGTTCCACCTGGGATGGCCACTGAAATCTGTTCTTTAATTTGCCAGGTGACATGACTCGTATGTAGGTGTGGTATAGCCTTGATCAATCCATGCCTTGTACCCAAATGTCTGACTGCTTCTCTGTACCTGCATCTCGGAACTGGAGGGGGTCATCCCCAAGTGTGAACCTACACATTGACCAATCACCTGAAGAAAAAAGGAAGGCTGCTTTCCAGGAACTGCATGCTCTTAGAAATCACAGAATCAGAGTCACACCTCCTTTCTCTTCGAGAAATTAAGCTTTTGCATGTTATGCTTGTCTTTAACAAGAACCTTGAGAACTTTTTCAGTATGTAAGACTATTACAGATTGTATCTTAAATGTTATCTCTGTGTGGGTGACGAATTTCATTATGTTTCCATGTTCCCTGTGATTTCAGTTGAACATCTTTATCTTCAGTTCTTGTTGTGAGCTGCTGCACACCATTTCACAGTTGTTAAATTTCACTTCAGAGGCAGCTGCATACTAGTAGTAAGTAGTAACCGTAACCCTCCTGACTGGCTCAGTCTGACACCCTGTCGGGAACCTGCTACCTGCAAATGATCTTCACACACTCAGTACCTTTACCCTAACATCTGCAAAGTGTTCTACACAGGAGAAACAAGATGAGCACTAGTTTAGAGAGAATGAGTAACAGTGGAGCTGAGAAAATCTGGATGAGAAGTGCTACTGTGCAGCAGCATGTTCTGCTAACACTTTCTGGTAAAGCATGCACATGTAAATTTTTAGATGTATTTTGGAAGAAAAAAAGTTGTCTTCAAAGAGTCAACAATGGATTTAAATACTCATAATTATTAACAGGGAGCCTGCAGATATTTTTTTATATTCCAGATACTAAAATATGTGTGTATATATGTTTTTCACAGGAGAATCCCTTCAAGGAAAGGATTGTGGAATCATTCTCAGAAGATGGAGAGGGGAGCCTCAGCTTCAATGATTTTGTGGATATGTTCTCTGTGCTCAGTGAAATGGCTCCCAGAGAGCTTAAAGCAATCTATGCCTTTAAGATCTATGGTACTGTATTGGGGTGCTTTCGCATGCCTTTTTTGTTTGAGGTAAATGACTATGAGTGTTGTTGGTCATCTTTTCTTTGGTTCTTTTATTGTTTAGATTTTAACACAGATAACTTCATTTGTAAATCAGACTTGGAAAAAACCCTCAATAAGCTGACCCGAGAAGAGCTAACAGCAGAAGAAATCACTCTAGTTTGTGAGAAAGTGATAGAAGAAGCTGACATGGATGGTGATGGGAAACTAGGATTCGCAGATTTTGAAAACATGATTTCCAAAGCACCAGACTTCCTCAGGTATTGTTTTAAGAAAAAAGGGTAGTCTCTTGCATATTTTCAGGGTTTTTTATGATATCACTGTGTAGTGTAACACAAGAAATGTCAGACATAAGTACTTTACTGGAGAGCGAACTAGAGGATGTCTTCTTACCCTAACTCAGTTTACTTTTCTAGAGCATATACCAACTCTCTCCTAACTTGAAGACTAAGAGCTCAATGACTTTAAATTATTTCCCCTTTTTTTCCTGTAGGTTTGTGTGTTTTTTTCAGGAAATCATTTTGATCTGTTATAAGCTCAATTTCATATTGTTCTCAAGCCTATAGCAAGGATCCATGCTGACTGAATAGGAATGTGTGTAAATATTGCATCCATGTCACAAATATACATGGAACTGCATTGATCTTTTGTGCTGAGGAGGTGAGAGCTAGAGGACATTCCAGTGGTACAGTTCATGCAGGTAGCAGAAAATTAATTAAAATAATGAATTACTGCAGTCCTTCCTTGATCCACTGTTGATCAGGGCTTTTTTTATAACTGATATTTTATATTTTTGTTGTGGATATTCTTCCTAATAATCTGTACATAAACCCCAGCTGTCTTGAGACAGGTTTTCTTGCATGTTTCTTATTTAAAGAGACCTTTTCAAAAGGTCAATGACTTCTTATTTTTACATACTAATAAAACACTCTACATAGATATGTGAGCAGCAGCCTCACAGTCACAAAC